CTCACACACCTTGCACCAGCCAGCCAAGGCTTACACTCCTCCCACCAACCAGCCAGCCACACCTCTCACATCTCCCAGCAACACCTCGCACACTTCCCACCAGCCAGCCAGCCCTCGCACACCTCCTGCCTGCCAGTCTTCACTCACTTCCTGCCTGCCAGCTCTTCCTCTAAACTCCCCACCTTGTCGTCTCTCCTCTCCCCACTTCTCCATCCATCTCCCCATCCCAACATGCCCCTGCACCCGTGTCCTTCCTGCACACCCCTCTCTGTCTGTCTGTCTCTTGGGGGAATTCTGGCCACGTGCGGATGTGCCGGTCAATGGACTCCCCTTTGGCAGCACAGAGTCCTGTCAACAGTTTCCCTTTGTCGCCGCCATCCTCACCTGCTGGGCCTCCAGCTCGGCCCCCAGCCTGGAAGGGACCAGAAATAACGGTTCTATCAAACAAGGGGGGCGCCTGGCTGGGCCCATCCCCGGGGCAGGGGGACTCAGCCCCACTTCTGGGGGCCCGGAGCCACTGGACAGCGAGGAATCCCAGAACCCTCTGGGAACACAGGGAGAGTGGAAGGAGGGGGAAAGGACCCCGCCAGGTTGGGACTGGCCAGGGGAGTTTCCTGGACACACCAGTCAGAGCCTGGGGCGCCCAGCCCCCTCCGAGCCAGGCTAGAACCCAGGGGTCTGGGCTCCCAGCCTGCCCCCACGCTCACCTCTTGTACTTCTGCTGCAGTTCTGAGTGCCGGAGTGACGCTGCCTCCAGATGCTCAGTCGCGCTCTTGTTTTCCTGCTGGAACAGCTGCCTGGAGACAATAGAAAGCATGGAGCAGCCCAGCCGCCATCCCCCGGCAAGGCAGGCTGGAGCCAGGCTAGAACCCAGGGGTCTGGGCTCCCAGCCTGCCCCCACGCTCACCTCTTGTACTTCTGCTGCAGTTCTGAGTGCCGGAGTGACGCTGCCTCCAGATGCTCAGTCGCGCTCTTGTTTTCCTGCTGGAACAGCTGCCTGGAGACAATAGAAAGCATGGAGCAGCCCAGCCGCCATCCCCCGGCAAGGCAGGCTGTGCTGGAAACAGCTCTCCCTGCATTCACCTTGCCAACTGCCTCTCTGCCTCTGCCCACGCTGCCCCTAGGCACTCTCCCCACTAGCCCAGATGTTTGCTTTCACGCCAGCACCTGGGCTGTCCTCACTGCTCCAGAGAGTACCAAGGAGTCCTGGCTCCCAGTGCTAACCACTAGACCCAGCTCCCCTTCCAAAGCCACAGAGAGAATCCAAGGAGTCCTGTCTGCCAGTCCCCCCATGCTGTAACCACTAGACACCTTTCCCTTCCTATAGCCAAGGGGAGAACCCAGGAGTCCTGGCTCCCAGCGGTAACCACTAGACCCAGCTCCCCTTCCAGAGCCACAGAGAGAATCCAAGGAATCCTGTCTGCCAATCACCATGCTCTAACCGCTAGCCCTCACTCTCCTCCCAGATCCAGGGGTGGGACCAGGCATCCTGCTCGGGCTGTACTGATGCAATATGCTCCATTGGTGGCTGGCACAGGGCTGGGGGCGCTCCACACTCACAGGGCCGTGCTAGCCTCCTGGCTCTTCAGGAACATCCTCTCCTGGCTGAGAGCTGCCCTGGCCTGGGGCAGGGAGTCCAGCTGCTTCTCAACCTGGGCCAGGCTAGCTTGGATCAGCCGGTCTAGGGCAAAGGACAGAAACGGCGGCACGGGGCCACATCACTCCGGTGCAGGGGTCTCAGGGAGAAGGCACGAGGCCCGACTCCTGGAGCGAGACCCCCAAGATCCCCGACTGAGATCAGGGTCCCATTCTGATGGGCACCGCCCAGACCCCAACCAAGAGGCAGGCCCTGACCCACGCGTCTGCACTCGAATGAGACAGCCCCGAGGGAGGATTATTCTGCCCCTTTCACAGCTGGGAAGCGGGGCTGGAGAGATTCGTCACCTTCGCTCAGCAAATGCTCCTTGCTCTCGGCCATGCTGTGGATCTCGGCGGCCAGCTTTTCCAAGCTCTAGGAGGAGGGGGAAGGAATTCACCACAGAGCAGGCTGCCACAGGGCTGGGGGGGGGAACATCCACTGGCTTCCCTCACCCTAATCCCCCCATAAATGGCTCTTTCCCCGACGGAGGCCTGGTCTCCAAGGGGGAGCGGCAGCTTGAAGCAGCCAGAGAGCTCCACTGCCCCCATAGGCCTTACGTCAGCTCCCTACCCCGAGCATTTTGCTGGCAGGGGCCGCAGAGCAGCACTGAGGACAGACTTGCTGTTTGCCAAGTCCTGGCACCCAAACCCCCCCCCCCCTTTCTAACCACTCCCCCCGTCCCCTCTCTGAGCCAGGGAGAGAACCCAGGAGTCCTGGCTCCCAGCTACTCCTGCTCGAACCCACTCCCTCCCACACACGTGCATGACCCCTGCCAGTAGAGTTGTACCCCATATCTGCGCCTAGGGGGCATTCCCTTGGATCCCCCTCCAATCCCAGCTGGCATGGGAACAGCCCAGGGGCCCCCC